CACTCTGGCCTGAGGTCAATACTTCCGCTGCAACACACTCTCTGCGAACCTTCCTGAGGTGATCATAGGCTCGATCAACCTTCCTGAAGATTTACAAAGATGTTGGTATAGATGATTGACTGGTGTTTGGGCAACGGTTCGATGATTTTTTAGACGTCTCATGAGGACTTTATCTTAAATGTAAATCGGGCGATTATTTGCAGTTCAGTGTAGCAGGCCAACCTACGGTAGCCTTTTTACTCGATGGTTCTTACTCTGTTAGTTTTGCCTGTGTCAGACAAAGAAAACGCCCGACTGTAGCTGTAGTTTCAAAAGTATTGCAACAAATCTGAGTTGCTTTTTCAGATGAAATAAGTGTGCCTACTATCTACCATTATCCCATACCCTACGCACTTTCTTCCACTAGTAGCCCTCTTCATTATAGTCAACCTCTACACCATCTGTGCAGTGTTGCACATCTGGCAATTCGCTACTAGCAGCAGACCCCCCTCGTGGGGTTACCACACCCGGTGTTACACACCCAGTTGCTGCCTTCATGTCCCCAATCAACCCATAAGCAGCACTGTTTATTTCAGCGACCCGTTTTTCTTTTGCCCTAAGCAGCGTGGTGTAGAGGGACCGGGCAGCTTCCAGCTCCGAAACTTTCGCAGCTGCCCGGCGCCGCTGGTTCCGCATTCGGGCAGCGGCTTCGTTGCGGGCAAGCTGAGCTAGTTCCAGGGCAGCTAGGGCAGAAGAACGGGCAGAAGACAGATTCACATCCTTTGTAGACTCCCCACTGCCCGCTTCGTCAGCTTTCGCTACAATACTCCCCCCCAACTCCTCCCCTCCAGCATTATCCTCCTCTCCTTCAGTCACTCCCTCCTCCCCATCCCCCATCTTCCTTTTCCCCTCTCCTTTGACTTCAAGACCCTTGCTTCCCATACTGCTCCCCTCATCTTCCCCGTCAACGGTTACCGTAATGCCTGCCTGGTTACCAGTAAACCCTTCCCCCCTTGTAAGCCCCTCCAGACTCGTGCTTTTATTCTCGGTGTCAGTACATGCCGTGAGCTGTGCAACTTCCTTGGAAGCTTCCTCCAGTGCAACCTCGGCGTCTGCCATGTCATCCCGAGCGTCCAAAGCTGCACCCACGGCGGCCGGCATGGCACTGCCGCCGAGCCTGCTTGGCTCGGGAGATCTCGTCAAACTGCAGAAGGTCCAGATTCTCCGAACCTAACATACTCTCGCGTTCACTATTGTCACCCTGGATGCTGCCATCCTTTTTGGTGTCACAATCGCGATTGTCACCCCCGTTTTTGTCACCCTCATTTTTGTCACCCTCACCCTCGTTATTGTCACGCTCGTCATTGCTGTCATCAACGTTACTGTCACCATCTGCTGCTGCTGTTGCTGCTGTTGCTGCTGCTGCTGCTGCTGCTGCTGCTGCTGCTGCTGCTTCTTCTGCCGGTGCTGACTGCGTATTGCATCCCTCCACATGCACTCCAAACAAACATCCATCAGGCCCAGCAGCGTCATCAGGCCCAGCAGCGTCATCAGGCCCAACAGCGTCATCAGGCCCAGCAGCGTCATCAGGCCCAGCAGCGTCATCAGGCCCAGCAGCGTCATCAGGCCCAGCAGCGTCATCAGGCCCAGCAGCGTCATCAGGCCCAGCAGCGTCATCAGGCCCAGCAGCGTCATCAGGCCCAGCAGCGTCATCAGGCCCAGCAGCGTCATCAGGCCCAGCAGCGTCATCAGGCCCAGCAGCGTCATCAGGCCCAGCAGCGTCATCAGGCCCAGCAGCGTCATCAGGCCCAGCAGCGTCATCAGGCACAGCAGCATCAACATGAGCAGCACCATCATCATCAGCAGCAGCATCGACATCAGTATCATCAGCAGCAGAAGCAGCAGCAGAAACATGAAAATCAGAGGCGTCGGCAGCATCTGTATCAGCATTAGCAGCAGCATTAGTAGCAGCAGCAGCATAAGCATCAGTGTCAGCATTATCAGCATCAGCAGCAGCGGCAGCGGCAGAAACATCAGCACCAGCAGCATCAGTAGCCACAGTATCAGTAGCAGCATCGGCATCAGCAGCAGCAGCATCACCAGCATCATTATCAGCATTTCCCGCACACACAACATGTCCACAGTCAATCTCATGGCTGCCTGAGCCACAATCTACCTCATGCCCTTCCCCTATGCCTGCTCCTCCTCCCCCTCCTCCTCCCACTCCTCCCACTCCTCCCTCTGCTGAAATAACATCGCTCCTCTCCCCACTATCACTCCTGCCACACCCACTCCCCTCACCCTCACTCCCTTCTCCTTCCCCTTCTCTTCTCCATGAGCCCTTCTCCCCCACCCCCATCGCCCCCATTACCCCCACCGGCGTCCCCCGGCCCACTGCCCCCACTGCCCCCACCACTCCCGCTGCCCCCACCGCTCCCGCTGCCCCTCTTGCCCCCGCTGCCCCCACTGCCCCCACCACTGCACCATCAATGAGGGTCCTGCCACGTCCCTTCCTATCCAAATACCCTGAAAACAGCTTCCCTCCAGCCCCAACCCCACCGGTTCCCGAGGCACTTGCAGGCTCGCGCATGGTCAGCATCGAATCAATGTTGTAGAACCGCTTCCCGAGCCTGAACGGCAGGTCCGGCACAGCATCGGTCGCCTCCGAAGCTATGGTGCCAGCGTCGCTGTCAGTGCTGCAAGGGCTGGCCTCTTGCCGCCCACTCTCCTCCCTCACTGGACGATAACTTCATCGAGAACTCCTCGTCGACATCGTGATCAGCTGCGCCCAAGCAAGGGCGTCAACTTTCTCTTCGACAGAACCATCTCTCAGAGTGTGGCCCAGGACGATCTGGGGGTCTTCTGGCGTAGCTGGAGCAGTCAACGCTCATCGGTTGATGATGGCTCTCCAAGGCGCTGATGCGGGTGTTGAGCTGCTCGATGAGAGCAGGGTCAATTGATGTGACTCCTAAGGTGACATTGGATGGCTGATGAACTCGATTTTCTCTAGTTTCTCCGCAGTCAGCGCTTGGCATGATGTATGCTTGTATCGCCATATATTTATAAGGAAGATATAGTTTAGAGAACTTGCTATTGGCAGAACTTATAGTCCAAACTAGCTCTCATACCATGTTAGAATAACTCGCTAGAGTGCATTGGAAGCCTCTAAAAAAGGTTTTACGACAACCATGAAGCGGGGAAATGGTCACTCAGTGGTAGCTCTTCTTGGCTAGTAACATGGTGCCATACCAGGCTGAGGGTTAGCCGGACACAAGCTTGAGAATATGTGTAATAATAGAGATGCGATACATTGGGTTATATAGCAAACACATAAGGCTGGCAGTTACTATAGTGCAACTGCATAACCGTTGCGGTGCTTCGCTTGGGTTGCCTTGTTACAATTGCGCTGGCGCGACTGTTCAACCTCGGCAAGGGCGCGGTATTCGGCCGCGCCCTGTAGGGCAGTTCCACATACAATACACGCTGCCACTGGTGAATACGACTCTTCAGCTGCCACGAGGGTCGCAACCACTGTGCGCGATTGCGCCCCTGTAGCTCGCCACCAGGGCTAACACCCTCGATATGGCGAGCTTTAATTAGTACACTTCGAATAGTGTAGCATATAATAGAAACCTTGCAAATATATTTCCAACAATTGGGCGACGAACAACTTGTTCATAAGGATGTTTCACGCCCTAGGTGCTAACCATTATAAAAAACGAATATGTTGACGACTGTGAAACGCTGTACGTACGGTCATAATGTGACAATCTACCCTACGAGGACGGCGTTTGTAAGATGGCCGTAGTGATAAAGAGCAGCTATAACGCTCCGGTGGTGCGAACCGGTACCATAAAGGGTAAGCGCCAAACATGCGTATATCTTGTCAGACCTTAGGTCAGACACTAACTGTAGGCTTGGAAGACACAAAGTAGTTCAAAACACAAGCAAATCAAGGTTCAAAAGACCCATCCTACTCCTTATCTTACACTACAGATGCACCCTTAGCAAGAGCACAAAAGGTGTCGGTGCGGGGATTCGAGCCCCGGTCTCCACGGCCACAACGTGGGATTCTAACCACTAAACTACACCGACTTGTTTAGGTCTGTCAGTTGTTTTTTAATACATTAATAAGCACTGCTGTTCATGCTGGATGTGAGGTTATGTGTGCTCGCCCAGCCAGCGGTGGTTTCCCTCATTTCTGGTTTTTATTGGAGCTGTAAAAGTACCCAGGAAGTAATTCTATGCGGGAAGCGCCAATGTGCGCTCTCTTAGGAAATCCCTTCCGTGGGCTCTGTTTTCCCGGGACTGAAATACTTGGTGTGAAACTCTGTCGCCGTCCAAAACTTGTCGCAACCCCCGTAAAGCCCGAGGTCAGCATGTTTTTTTCCCAAAACTACTGAACTTGAAACCGGGTGGCGGGAAACCCAAAACATAAATCCCCGTCTCTCAGCGCATGGATGGGATGTGCGAAATTTGAGGAGATTCTCCAGGTTCTCCCATTGGAGGAGAGGCAATTGTTGCGCTTGCTGGGAGCAGCAAATGGCTGCTGTAACTAATTGCAGCAGAATTTCAGTATTCAGTTGTGATGGTAGTAACGGCGTCGATTAGGAAACACTAACCAGACAGGCTCTCTAGTAGCAGCGAGTCATGCCGCGATTCGCTGTGGCCGCAGTGACGGTTCCAGATTAGTAATTGACGGTAGGCCTCTCTGCGACTTCTGATAGTGTACGACGTTCGCGCGACCTAATAAGGAGCTCCCGCCTGTCAAAGCCGGAGTCGCGCATTCGTATACTCACCATGGTACTCACCTCCATAATAGCAGTGCTAATTTATTAACGGCGGGTGTAAGCTTCCTGTACGGCCTTAACACCTTCCCTGCTGCGACAAGTAGTCGCCTATCTGCCTAACAGCCCGTGTAAGTCGGTAACTTAGCCTGATCCTTTCCGTGCCACGTGGCACCCTCTGCCTGTAACCCGAGGATTATCCAATCCCGTGCCACGTGGCGTCCCGTCGCCAAGATGCCACCAATGGGGTGCGTCGGCAGCAGGGGGATGGAAGGCCCGGACCTCGATAATTCCGACTACGACAGCAGCACCATCTCCCGAACCACGTCGCAGTCCTCCCGAGCCACCGCGCAGTCACCGATCCTCCAGGCTCGGCGGTCGGGGCCAGCTCCGTCCAGAGGCTTGGGAGGAGCGATGGGACAGATGGCAGGATCGCAACCAGTTAAGGTTCGTGGGGGGATTTTATTAGGAATTTGCGAGTCTCGTTTATTTCTGAGACGTTTCAAAACTCGATTTGCGAGTTTCGTTGATAAGTGACATACCTTTTATCGCGTTTCGTCACGTCTGGCACTGTATATCACTGCGTTTGTTCCTATTCCGACCTTTCTGTTTGATCCGCCGTGCAACCGTCACTGAATTTCGCGACATTTTGTGTGGTAACCCTATTTCGCCAGGACCTGCTAGACGTGTTCATTGACGAGGTGGAGAGTTCGCACAAGCGAAAGTCCAAGAGCAAGACGCACAGACATAAGGGGTCAGCGGGAGAAGCTGGAGCAGCGGGGGAGGTTGGGGCAGGGGGAGAGGCTGGGGCAGGGGGAGAGGCTGGGGCAGCGGAAGAAGCTGCATCAACGGGGGAAGCTGGGGCAGAAGGAACGTCAGGGGCTGCAGGAGTAGGGGCAGCAGATATTGGGGCGTTGAGAGGAGAGGAAGTGAAGGGAGCAACAACAGGGACGTCCCAGCGCGAAGAAGAAGGGGGAGCAAGAGAAGGGCGGATGGTAGGTGAAGTGGAGGATGAGATGGGACGGAGAGAGAAGGGCGGAGATATGAAGTGCTTAGTAGATGAGTGCTCAGTCTCAGCACCATCTATAGCAACAGCAACAGCAGCAACAGCAACAACAGCAACAACATTGCTATACTCATCTGCTTCACCTGCAGAGACAGAATTACTGGATAGGCCGGCTTGCGAGCTGGCAAGACAAGCGGACGCCACGTCAGATGCCACGTCAGGTCTTCACCCGGAGAGCTCGAGCACAAACGGTCCGCCCCCCCCTGTCCACGGCGACCCAGCTACAGCCTGCTCAGCGGATTCAATGCATCTAGACAATCCCAAGGGCGGCTCGGGGACGGCTGACAATCCCGAGGCTGGTTCAGGGGAGGCTGAAAAGTCCAGAGCTGCCCGACAGGACACAAGGGAATCAGCAAGCTTAGGTTCGGAGTTTCCGGACCAGGAAGGGAGCTTAGGTGGTGTGGTTCGGGGCAGCCCTGGCGTGGCTGAAGCAGGGGGGGGTTTCGAAGGAGAAGATGGGAAAACAAGTTCAGGAAGGGACGGACCTGTCGTCCGAACCTGGGAGGTAGACCCGGAGCGCCGAGCCAAGAGCTGGCGAAGGGACGTGGAGGCCGAGTTCTCAAGGAGTGAAAAGAAGAGAAGAGACCCGGAGACGCAGGTAACAGGGAGGCTGGTAGCACGTGAGGTACCAGCTGGTGTGGGCAATGGGGGGAGAGAAGGGGGCGAGAGTGCAAGAGATGAAGCTGTAAGCAGGGCATCAACGGTTGTGATTGACTCTGGCGCGGAAGCAGCTAATGAGGGGTGCGTGCGTGATGCTGCTGATGCAGGCGGAGGGGAGGGTAGAAGTGAGAGCGGAGGGGAGGGTAGAAGTGAGAGTGGAGGGACGTACGTGAATTCTGAGGCGCCTGTGAACTTGTCTGGTGGGGGGGAGGGTGGTGGCGGTACGTACCTGTTTGCAATGAAGCTACGACGAGTGAGGAGCTCAGGGGACGTCACTAAAGGGGATGTCTCTAAAACGGATGCTGTTTCAAACGGGGATGCTTCTACAGGGGATGCTACTAACGCGGATGTTGTCAGCAGCGGCGCTGCACCTGCTAGTGCTGGGGCGAAGGGCAGGCAGAGGAGGAAGGGGAGCCTGCTGGGTGTGATGGAGCATGGGAGCATGGGGGAGGATGAGGGAAGGGGTAAGGGAGTGGAGGAGGGAGGCAGCAAAGCGGGTGAGGAGGGGAGGAATGAGGAGGCGTGGAACCAGGAATGGGCGGCTAGACCCCTTGAGGGGGCTAGCACCAAAAGTGGTGGACCACTGAGGAGTCTGCAGAGAGACGATGCTTTGATGCCGAGAGGTGGGTCTGTGGTGCAGAGGAAGCGAGCACTGAGGGGTGAGGAGATGGCAGAAGGAGGAGATGAGAGGGAGAGGGGGCAGAGAGACCGAGGGCAGAGGGGCGGAAGCGAGAGTGCTTGTAAGACAGAAGAGAATGGTGGTGGTGGGGGTGGTGATGATGGCGATGTGATTCTTCCTGGAAGCTTCTTGTGCTTCGTCAGGCGAGCCAACCAGCCGGGGTCTCCCAGGGGTTACAGTGGCCAGCCTGCCACAAGGTTCAGTGCAGGGTGGGGGGGGAATTCTGCGGCTGCTTCTGCTGCTGGTGGTTGTTCCGGAGCAAGGTCTGCACTGCACCAACACCGCAAGTCATTATCCTCTTCAAAGCCATCCTCGTTAAGAGCCCCTTCACCAAAACCTCCTCCTCTCGAACCACCATCTCCGAAAACATTTCTACTAACGCCCTTCTCGTTAGATTCCCAACCACCTAAGGCACCCTCGTCTCGAGTGCCCCCCACTCTCTCCCTCCCCCCTGCCTCCCCCAGGTCCCCCTCCCTCCCCCCCTTATCCCCCTCTGGTCTCTCCGCCACCCTACAACCAGCATCCCCCAGGTCCCCCTCTCTCCCCCCGCCCATCGCCTTCAGGTCTCTCTCCCTCTCTCCCCCCAGCTTCCCCCAGATCCCCCTCCTTCCGCCGCCCTCCAGCCTCTTCGCCCCAGGCCTCACCAGCCAAAGGGGGCGTGTCTGTAGTCCTGCCCACAGCCCCAGTCTCAACCTCCCCCAAGCCTACCTCCCCCAAGCCTACCTCCCCCAAGCCTACCTTCCCCAAGCCTTCCTCTCCCAAGCCTACCTCCCCCAAGCCTTCCTCTCCCAAACCTACCTCCCCCAAGCCTGCTTCCCCTGCTGCCCCTGTTTCACCTGCTCCCCCTGCTGCCCCTGTTTCACCTGCTCCCCCTGCTGCCCCTGTTTCACCTGCTCCCCCTGCTGCCCCTGTTTCACCTGCTGCCAATGCTGGTTCTGAGCAGCAAGAGCTAGACGAGGACGCCCTTCTCCTGTCCTTTGAAGCACCTCAAAACGCACCTGCTGCCTCTGCTGCCTCTGTTGCCCCTGCTGCACCCACAGCTGGTTCTCAGCAGCAAGAAGCAGACGAGGATTTCCTTCTCCTCTCTCGGCTTGGATCCCCTCGCATCGTGCTGCCCAATCGCATACAGTCACACTCGTTTAAGTGCATAAGCAGCACAGGCGCTCAGCACAACAAAGCCACCATTCAGATGGCCAGATCGCACAGCAATCCTGACCCTCCATCTGCATCTCTGGCCGATCCAACGGCTGACGTCACCCGTCCTCCCCACTTCCCCACCCTTCCCCATCTTTTCACCCCTCCTCGCCTCGCCACTCCCCCTCGCCCACGCTCCCGGGGGGGCTACAGTAAACTGCAGGTAGATCTAGCAATCGTCACGACTGTATCGGATTTTATCGGATTTGATTTGTTTGGGGGTGGCGAGGAGGAGGGGGAAGGTGCGTCCGGGGAAGGTGAGTCTGGGGCAGGTGGGATGGATCCGTGGGGTATGGTTGCTGCAGTGGGTGGGTCGCTCTGGCCTATGAGTGACTGTATGGAGGGGGAAGAGGCGGCACAGATTGGGAAGGTGCAAATGAATGCAGCAGATGTTCTTGTGGTTGATTCTGCAGAGAGTGACTGTATGGAGGGAGAAGAGGGGACACAGGAGGTGCTAGATGATGCAGCAGATGTGCAAAAGATGAGTGGGGAGGATGTGACTAAAAAGGATGTGAACGGGGAGAATGTGATTGGAGAGAATGTGACTGTAACGGCAGCTGAAGGGGTGAAGGAAAGCAGAGGACAGGCAGATGGGACTGCAGAGGATGTGAGTGCTGCTGAGGATTTGTTTGGTGGCGATGTGACTATAAAGGGGGTGGGCAGCGAGAAGGTGCATATAAGGGAGGTGATTGTAGCAGCCTCGGCATTGTGGAGGGACGTGATTGACCACCGGGAGGATGTGGGGATGGCCATAGAGGGGGCTCTGGTGGATAGGGTTACCACACGGAGTGAGGTGACTGTAACGGATGTGACTGTAGGTGAGGTTGGGTTTGGGAGAGTGGAGGGAGCGGAGGGAGAGGAAGGGGACATGGCCGCTGATGTGGCTGCTGATGTGGATGCAGACGATGAGGTGCCGAGCTGGCAGGAGGTGTGCAAGCAGGGGGAGGTGATTGTAACGAAGGCCAAGGTTCTTACGAGTCTCTTAGAAAGGCTTGAGTGTAAGACTGCGGGATGTGGTGTGGTGAGACTGTCGACGACAGTTGTAACGCCGCCGGGGGCAGATGTAACCCAAACAGAGACAGATGTAACCCAAACAGAGGCGGATGTAACCCAAACAGAGACAGATGTAACTCTGCCGGTGGAGAATTTTGTGATTTTGGCAAAGCAGCATTTCTTACTGCTGAGTCAGCACACAATGGGAAGCCGAATAGGGGAAGCGGGTGTGGCTGTAGAAGGTGTGAGTGTTGGCGATGTGACTGTAGGCGGTGTGACTGCAGAAGGACTGGCAGAAAGCGCAGGGCGGTTGGAAGACCTGCTGTTTCTGGTGTTGGGCGTTTTGAGAGTGATAGAGGCGAGGAGGAGGAGAGATGTGGAGGGAGCGGGGAGTGTGAGGGAAGAGGGGAAGGTGGAGGAGGGAGTGGGTGCTGGAAACGAAAAGGACGAGGAAGGGGGAAAAGAGGAGGAGAAGGATGAGGAGAAGGAGGATGAAGGAGGATGGGAAGAAGGCGAAGATGAAGAAGAGGAGAAGGAAGGAGGGGACGAAAACGAGGAGGAGAGACAGAGACAGGCAGAGCTATGGGATCGAAGTGAGAAGCTGCTAGAAGCTGCCTCAGAGCATGCAGCATTGCTGGCGGCACGCTGCTGCTCTCTTGCAGACCGGCAGGCAGGGAGCGGGGGAAGAGACAGGGAGATGGGCGCAGGAGGACCAGTGGAGCGGAGGGGCCAACAGCAGCAGCAGCAGCAGGGGCTGGCATCGTTGTTTGCTCTGATTGAGAGTGCTGAGCTGCTTTCAAGTTGTGTTGCATCTCGTGCTCCGCCTGTGCCTGCTGAAACTGATGCTTCTGCTGCTGCTCCTTCTGTTGCTGCAACTGGTCTTGCCTCTCCTGGAGAGAAAGAAAACGAGATTCGGAGCGAGCAGCTCTCAGGGCCCTCAGCAGCTGAAGCAGCAGCGCGTGATGCAGAAGCGGTGACCCACCCTGCCTCTACTGCCCGCCTCGCTGACCTCTCGCCTGCAGCAGCTAGAAGCTGCTATGGGCCTGCTAGTCCCTGCACAGGCACACGCGCACGAGAGGGCTTCTGAACCGCAGCATCACAACCCACTGTCCCCCCCACAGCAAGGGCTCTCTGTGCGGAGCAAACAGGGCAGTGGCAGCAGTGGCAGTGCCGTGACAGCAGCGCGCACTCTCTGTGTGCCGTGGCTTAGCCTGTGCTCTGAGGCCCTCTCTCTCATGGCCGATATCCGCACCCGGCTGAGTCAGCTCTATGTGCTTTCCCATTCCCATGACAGGGGGCTTGCACATGCCCACTCTGCCACTGATGCAGCAGCCGCGCCTATCCCCTTGCTGAGACCCTTTAAACCCCATCTGCCTATAGCAGCAGCAGCAGCTGTTCCTGTGGTGTCTGCGCTGCTGCTGCGCTGCCTCTTGAGGCTGGGGGGTGCTGTGGCGGAGGTGTGGGGGGAGACTGGTGGGGGAAAGAAGGGGAATTGGGGGAGCCGGGGGAAGAGTAGGGGCGGAAGGGACGGCAGAGGGAGTGAAGGAAGCGGCAAGGGTGGTGACGGGTTGGGATTGGAAGGGGAGGAGGACCTTTGCTGTGGATGGGTGTACGCTTGGGATAGTGACGGTTCTGCTGCTGCTACTGGCGATGCTGGTTCCCACACCCCTGTCCCCCCTCTTGCCTCTGCAGCAGCATCAGCAGCAGCAGAGGTCACCCTCCTGTCCTTGCTCCATCACAACATGCCCTTCCCACTACCATCCCCATTATCCGACCACAATAGTTCGGGACAAGGTAGAAAACGGGAGGAAAGGGGCGAGCTAGTGGATAGTCATGGAGGGGAGAGAGGAGGGGAGCAGACGGAAGGAGGAAAAGAGGGAGAACAAGTCAAGGAGCCGTTTCTGGATGGGGGAATTTCTCGGCCTGTTCTCTTTGGCGATCTCTGTGCTTCCATTTGTTCCAATGCTGCTGCCGCGTTGACAGGAAATGCCACAGATCTTGCAGATGTGGCTGGTAGTAACCCTGAGAATGCTTCTGCTACAGCTGGTGCTACAGCTCTTGCTACAGCCTCTAGCTTGGCCGGGCAAGCCTCTGCACTGCTCTCCGTGCTACAGTCGCTGGTCTCGGATGCTGCTGCTACAGCCATTCCTGCTGCTATAGGCTCTGCTGCTACAGCTGTCGCTGCTACTACTGGTGCTGCTCCTGCTGGTGCGGTTTCATCTGATGCTGTGAGGGCAGCTGATGCGTCGGCTATATCTGCTGCTACAGCTGGCAGTGCAGGGTCGTCAGCCCAGCTTCTTCCTGCAGTGGCGATGGCGGGAGCAGCAGCCGTGGTGGCTCACACTATGGTGCATGCGCTTTCTCTGGAGATCACTCTTTCCCTTGGCGTGCAATCCGCTGGTGAGTGCGAAGCGAGTGCATGAGTGGGTGAGTGATGAGCATGTAACAGTGGCAGCTCTTTTCCTTGCCCTGCAATCCGCTGGTGAGAGGGAAAGCGTGTGGTGTGGGTATGCATTTGTGCGTATGAATGCGAGTGAAGGCATGCAATGCAAGCATGTTGAGTCTCACAGCTTCTCCCGGCAGTGACGACGGCGCGAGCAGCAGCAGTGGTGGCTCACGCTGTCGTGCATGCTCCGCAGCTTGCTCTTTCTCTTGGCACTTGGCCTGCAATCCGAGGGTGATTGAGATGTGTGAGAGTGTGAGCGGCTGACTGTGTGGGTGTGGGATTGGGTGAATGAGTGAGCATGTTACAGGAGCAGCACTTAGGCAGCGGTGGCTCACACTGTAGTGCGTGCAATCGCTCTGGTTGTGGCATGCCGGTGGGAGGGGGTGAGTGAGTGTGTGTATGTGAGTGTGTACACTTTTTTTACCGGAACATTCAATTAACAACTGTCCGCTTCTCTAACACTCCTCCCTTGATTGTTGCTGCTCCCATCAGGCACACAGGAGCGACTCACCTCGTTAGTGCAGGGAGCCACTCGCCTCTCACACTTACTCAAGAGCCACTTAGCTGTGCTGCAGCAAGCTGCCAACCAGGGCTGTGGAGCTCCTAGGTTCTTCCTCGCGATGACAGATGGCGCGACGCTATTCGCCCGTAAGCTACAGGGCCATATAGCTGAGTTACAAGTGACCGAGGCTGCTTGTATGGGGGATAAGGGGAGGGGGAGAGGGGGAGACGGAAGGGGGGGATGGAGCGGGAAATGGAGCGGAAAATTTGGGGCAGTTACAGCAGAGGAGGATCTCGCTCGGGCAGCTGGAGGAGCGTTCCGATTGGCTTCTGAGGCTGCCCGGCACACCGGGCGGCTAGAATTGGAAGCTTCTTGGGAAGCACTGGGAATGGATGGCAGCAGCAAGGGGGGGGTGATTGGCAGTAGGGGCCCTCCCAAAGCCAGGCATCTGCTCTTTGAGAGACATGCAGCAATGAAGCCTTTGGCTCATGCCAAGAAGGTAGAGGCAGAGTGGATGTGGGGTGGGGGCGATGAGGATGAGGAGGAAGGGGATGAGGAGGAAGAGAAAGAGGTGGAGGAGGAGGGAGAGGGTAGGCGCAGCGAGAATGTGGAGGGTAGAGGAATTGGAAAAGGGGAAACTGGAAGGTTCAGTGGCAGAAGGATCGGCAGCAGGTTCGCGGGGAGCAAGTTTGGGGGAACCAGGAGAGTGAACGTGGAGTTGCTTATAGAGAGTGTGAATATAGCCGCAGAGCTGGCATACCACAGCCATAGAGTGCTGACCAAATGCGTGGGGGGTGTGGGTTCCGGCTGGGTTGGGGAGGTCACAGAAGCTGCTCTTTCCGCACAGATTATTGACGCAACTGGAGGCTTTGTGTCTGATTTGAATATGAGAGGAGGTGCTGGTGTGGTGAGGGTCTCTGCTACCAGTGGGGTGAGAGCATATGGGGATGTGGATATGAGTGCACCCATCCCTGTTCTCTCCGTGTTTGCAGTCAAGCTGCAGACACCTGCTGCTGCTGCTGTGGGAGAGTCAGCAGCGTGGGCAGGAGGGGTACGGGAGACAGGAGACGGCGATGGTAAGGTGCTGCGAGCAAGTGAGCCAACACCTCCTGAGGGGACTGCTGCTTCTGCTGTTGAGACTACTGTCTCTGCCACCACCACTGCACCTGCTGCTGCTGCACCTGCTGCTGCTTCTGATGGCTCTGCCTCTGTGGGTGCTGCTGTCGACTCCACTCAAAACACACCCGGAAAACGCTCTGCATCAGCAGATGAAGCTTCTGTCGCCGCCCCATCCCCCCTCCTCTCCTCCTCATCTCCCTATCTCCCTCCGAGCTCCAGCTGTCACTCCGCCATTCGTCCGTCGCCCCATGCTGACGTCATCCTCCCCATCCCTCTCTTTCTCTCGTCTTCTGAGGAGGATCGGAGCAGCTTCGGCACGGATCCAACCGTGGAGCAGGTTTGGTGTAGCCCCAGCCTTGGGCCGAGCCAAGATCATCCTCAGATCAGCTCCGGATTTGACCTGGCTCGGGGGCAGGCTCGGAGCAGCCTTGAAAGTACAGGCAGTGGGACCGAGAGGGGTGGGAGGGAGGGGAGGAAAGGAAGGGAGAAGGAGAAGGGGAGGGAGAGGAGGCGTATGGAGTTGGTGACGGGAGGAGGGGGTAGGGTGGATATTGGTTCGGCATCTTTTACATCAGCAGCATCAGCAGTTTCAGCAACGTCAGCAGCAGCAGCAGCAGCAGCAGCAGCAGCAGGAGTATCATCAATTGAAGGTTCAGGTGGTGGGTCCCGGTTGAGAAGAGTTCAATCCGGTGGGAGTCAAGGAAAAGAGAGCATAGGCAGCAGGAAGGGGGGTGGGGAGGAGGGAGCGAGAGAGGGAGGGGTGTCAGCAGTGGGAAAGGAAGAAGGAGGAGGAGAACCAAAGGCAGCAGAGAAGCTGGTTCGTGGTGGTTCGGGAGCTGGAGGTTCGGTAGGAAGAGGCTCGGGAGCAGGCTTGGGCGCAGGAGGTGGGAGTGACACGGGCAGCTTGAAACTTAGCCTTGGTTCCCTCCTGGGATCGCAGGGTTCGGGCAGCTTGAACGAAGCAATAAATCTTTTTTTGGAAGAACTGGAGGTTGGAGAGGGACGAGGGGGGCGGGAGAAGAAGGGGAGGAGGGAGAGAAGGAAAGATGGGGAGGGTAGCAGGGAAGGGGGTGGGGGATTGGAAAGGGGGGTGGAGATGGGTGCTGGGGATGCAGATATGCCTGCAGAGACAGATGCAGAGACAGAGACAGGAATTGAGACTGAAATAGAGACAGAGATTGAGAGTGATGCTTGGAGTCTGTCCAGTGGGGGTTGGGCTTCGTCCCTTGGAGTTGGGGTGGAGGGAGAGGAGGAGGTGAGGGGAGAGTTTGAGGGGAGGAAACGGGGGGTTGGGGATAGGAGTGGGCAGAGAGAGGGGAAGGGGAAGAGGGAGGAGAGTGAGAGAGTGGTTGGTTTGGGTGGGGAGGTGGAGGGAGGGATGGGTGGGGGGGGCGAGGAGGAGGAGGATGAGGATGAGGAGTGGTATCAAGAGCTGCTGAAGAACATGCGAGATGTGGACTTAGGGTTTGGGAAAGAGGAGAGGGCATCTGAAAAAGAGGAGGAGCGGGCATGTGAGAGGGAAGAGACGACCGTTGGGGAAGAAGAGGGCGCATTCGGGTTGCGTCAAAAGGAGGCTAGGGAGGCTAGGGAGGCTCGGAAGGAGGAAGGAGGGGAAACGGAGGAGGGCAGGGAACAACAAGGGGCAGATGAGGTTCCTCTTTTCGGAAAGGAGGCAGGAGAGGGAAGGGAGGGAAGAGTGGGAAGAGAGGAGGTGCAGAGGGAGGAGAGTGGGAGGAGAGAGCCTAGTCCCTGCAGCACTGATAGTGATGCTGGCACCATAGCTTCGGAGGCGACCGATGCTGTGCCGGACCTGCCGTTCAGGCTCGGAAAGCGGTTCTACAACATTGATTCGATGCTGAACATGCGCGAACCTGCATCTGCCTCGGGAGCCGGTGGGGCTGGTGGGTTTGGGGCTGGTGGGGCTGGTGGGAAGTTGTTTTCAGGGTATCTGGATAGGAGGGGTCGTGGAAGGACCCTCATTGATGGTGCTGTGGTGGGGGCGTCAGTTGGGGCAGCGGGGGCAGAGGGGACAGCGGGGGCAGTGGGGGCAGGGGGGGCAGCGGGGGTGGTGGTGGGGGCAGTGCAGACAGTGGATGTGGGGGAGAAGGTTTCAGGGAGGAGAGAAGGGGAAGGAGAAGGGAGTGGGGGTGAGGGGAGTGGGTGTGTCAGGAGTGACAGTGGCGACAAGAAGTGCGAAGTAATTTCAGCAGAGGGAGTAGGAGGAGGAGGCAGAGGGGAAGGGAATGAGTCACAGAGTGCTGGTGCTGCGGCTGCAGCACATCCTGATAATGATTCTGCTGATGCTGCTGCTGATGCTGCTGCTGATGCTGCTGGTGATGCTGCTGCTGATGCTGCTGCTGATGCTGCTGCTGATGATGCTGCTGATGCTGCTGCTGATGCTGCTGGTGATGCTGCTGGTGATGCTGCTGCTGATGCTGCTGGTGATGCTGCTGCTGATGCTGCTGGTGATGCTGCTGATGCTGCTGCTGATGCTGCTGGTGATGCTGCTGATGCTGCTGCTGATGCTGCTGCTGATGCTGCTGGTGATGCTGCTGATGCTGCTGCTGATGCTGCTGCTGCTGCTGCTGCTGCTGATGCTGCTGCTGATGCTGCTGCTGCTAATGCCGATGCTGCTACTGATGCTATTGCTACTAATGCTGATGCTGCTAGTCCTGGTGTTGGTGCTGATGTTGATGCCGCTGCTGCTGATGATACTGATGCCGACGCTGGTGATGATGCTGCTACTGATGCTTCTGCTGCTGCTGCTGCTACTGCTGCTGCTGCTGCTGATGCTGCTACTGATTCTTCTGCTGCTAATGCTGATGTTGCCGTTGCTGGTGCTTCTGCTGTTGATCCTGATGCCGCTACTGCTGCTGCTGCTGCTTCTGCTAATGCTGATGTTGCTGATGCTGGTACTTCTGCTGCTGCTGCTGATCCTGCTACTGATGCTTCTGCTGCTGCTGCTACTGCTGCTGCTGCTGCTGCTGCTGCTGCTGCTGCTGCTGATGCTGCTACGGATGCTTCTGCTGCTGCTGCTGCTAATGCTGATGTTGCTGATGCTGGTGCTTCTGCTGTTGATGCTGATACGGCCGCTGCTGATGATCCTGATGCCGATGCTGCTGATGCCGATGCTGCTGGTGCTGTTGCTGCTAGTGCTGTTGCTGTTGTTGATGCCGCTGCTGCTGATGATGATGATGATGCTGCTGGCGATGCTGCTGCTGATGCCCCTACTGCTGCTGCTGATGGCGATGCCGATGTTGATGCTGCATCTGCTGGCGCTGTGGCTGATAATGCTGCTATAGGCGATGGAGGTTTGTCTGGGGTGCATATGGAGGGGTGCAATAGTCAGTCAACTCCGGCAGAAGAAGCAGCAGCGGCCGAAAGTGCAGCAGCAGCAGCAGCAGCAGGCAGCAGATGATGACATTAACTTTCATGACAGCAATGACGAGGGAGACAATAATGAGCGTGAGGGTGACAATAATGAGCGTGAGGGTGACAAGAATGAGGGTGACACTAACTATCGTGACAATAGTGAGCGTGACAGTGAGAAGGATGGCAGCATCGAGGGTGAGAATAATGAAGGCGAGTGTAAGTTAGGTTTGGACCATTCAGACCTTCTGCAGTTTGACGAGGTATTCCGAGCCAAGCAGGCTCAGCGGCAGTGCCATGCCGAAGCTAAGGCTGCTGTGGCTGCAGCTTTGGACGCTCAGGATGATCTGGCAGACGCCGAGGCTGCACTGGAGGAAGCTTCCAAGGAAGTTGCACGGCTCACGGCATGTACTGACACTGAGAATAAAGGCACGAGTCTGGAGGAGCTTGTAAAGGGGGAAGGGGTTGCTGGTAACCAGGCAGGGGTTGTGGTAACCATTGATGGGGAAGATGAGAGAGGCAGTACGGTGAGCAAAGGTTGCGAAGGGAGAGGGGAGGGGAATAGAGAGAGTGATGGTGTGGATGAGGGAGTGACAGAAGGAGGGAGTGGGGAGGAGGGAAATGCTGAGGGAGAGGAGGTGGGGGGAGTTGCAGCGAAAGCTGAGGAGGAGGGCAGTGGGGAGTCTACGGAGAATGTATCTCTATTTTCTGCCTGTTCTTCTGCCCTGGCTTCCCTGGAACGAGCTCAGGTTGCCCGCAACGAAGCCGCTGCCCGAATGCGTGCCCAGCGGCACCGGGCAGCTGCAAAAGTTTCGGAGCTGGAAGCTGCCCGGTCCTTCTACACCACGCTGCTTCGGGCAAAAGAAAAACGGGTAGCTGAAATAAATAGCGCTGCTTATGGGTTGATTGGAGAGATGAAGGCAGCAACTGGGTGTGTAACACCTGGTGTGGTAACCCCACGGAGGGGGTCTGCAGCTAGTAGCGAATTGACTGATGTGCAACACTGCACAGATGGTGTGGAAGATGACTGTAACAAGGAGGGTTAATAACGGGAGCCAAGTGCATAGGGAGTGGGGAAGATGGAAGGCAGATTATCGTCTGGAAATACTCAAGTTATTTTTCTTGTAATGCTTTTGAAATTCCAGTTACAGTCCTGGGGGTCTCTTAGTCTGTCCTTGCAAAACTGGCAGCTGTTCAAGGGATTTGAAACTACAAAAAAAACCAACTTGTGATTTACGATGTAGACTCAAATTGCATGAGCGGGGTCTTATATTTCTAACGATGAAACCCTTCGACCTGTGTAAAAATCGCGCGACCCACGCGTCAGATCGAAGGTCTGACACGGTGGATGTGTCAGATTTCGAGCCTGACATAAAAACCGCGTCAGAACAGTAGTTTTCTCTCTAAAAGCTGATGCGCCAAATCATTTCAACTCACTGTACAGAGAAGGGGGGTTCTTCAAATATCAATTGCAGCAAGGGGGTCCTCACCAAAACCTGCCAATTTTTTAGTCCCTATTCCTCGTTCAAGTCCAGGGGGAATATGGTATCAGTACGGTCAATTAGTACAAAACTTGACGCATCCCCTGAACCCTAAGCATTCTCTGACATAATTAAAGTACTTTCAAATCTACTCAAAAGGCGTCTCAATAGTCATCCAATCGATGTCCAAACGCCGGCCAATCATCAAATCCGACGCCACAGTATATCTCAGCCGCCATCTCCTCCTTACAACCTCCCTCTCCCAGCCCTTGGATGGGCTTCCCAGCTGCCCCAATCCCTGGGGTTTCAGTCGGCAAAGCCAGCGAGCGAGACCAATCAGATGCTCCAACCCCAATCGGGTGCAATTCCAGGAGCTCCTGCGAATACTTCTGAGGAGACTCATTGGGATCCCCAAGCGCTGGGGTCTCAGTCAGTAACGTCAGCGCGTGAGACCAATCAGTTGCCCCAACCCCACCCAGATGAAAATCCGAAGGCTCCTGGGATTGCTTCTGAGGAGCCTCGAAAGCTGTCCCCAGCACAGAGATATCGGTGAGTGAGTGCGGCTCATCGGACGTCCCGAGCCCGATCAGATGAAATTCCAGAGATTCCTGAGAATCAGAATCTTGAGTCTCGATCGCCGATGCAGGGGAGGGGATGGCAGATGGGTCGGTCAAATCAGACCAGATGCTTGTATCTGGGATAGCTAAGTCCATAGGACTCAAGTAAGAGGATGGGTCAAGATTAAGGTAAGTTGAGTCAGGGTGGGATGGATTAAGGTAGGAGGATGGGTTAAGGTAAGAGGATGGGTCAGGGTTAAGGTAAGTTGAGTCAGGGTGGGATGGGTTAAGGTAAGATGGGTCAGGGTGGGATGGAGCAAGATGGGTTGAGAAACCTGTTGTTGTGTCTGCTTGCTCCAAAAACTGCCAGAACAACAGGATGGTAATCAGGGGCAGGAAGGAAGGAACAGCAGGGGTAAGATGGCAGCAGAAATGGGAAATTAGCAAGGAAAAAAAAAAAAAAAAAAAAAACCAAAATACAGAGTTGAGGGCTTCGGTTGAATAAATGCTGCCGAAGAATCCGGCTCAGCAGGCAGCAAAACTTTAGCTGAATGTGCAGCACATTTCACTCACCTCATTCAAGAAGCTGGTTGAAGAATCCAGCTCTGCTGCTCTTGTGACAGATGTGTAGACAGATGCAGGTGGATCAAGCACGGGTGTCGTAGCAATGACAGCAGGCGGAGCAGCAGCGACCAGAACTGCAGCAACGGTAGGAGCTGCATCGGTAGGAACAGCAGCAGCATCAGCAGCGGCACCACCAGCACCACCAGAAACGCCTGAATCCATGCTTGAAGCAGGAGCCTGGCCGGCCGTGCCTGAAGCCCCACCAAAGCTGCAGCTGCTGCTGCAGAGGCCTGGGGCAAGGCCTGAAGCAAGGCCTTGAGCAAGGCTTGGGGCAAGGCTTGGGGCAAGCCCTGTTGCAAGGCCTGTCGTGTCAATGCCATGCAACTGTGCTCTGTTCTCCAATGCGCCATGCAGGCTAAGGAGCCTTGACAGCACCACCTGTCTCTCAGGGGGTGTCAGAAGCACCCCCATCAGGAACGCAAGGTTGCAGTTGCTGCTCGTGTCAGCTGCTTCACTGTTTCCTGGAAGCGTCTGCTCCTGCGGATGAGCCGCTGAAGCGGCTACTGGGGCTGTTTTTCCTGCTGGGACAACTGGGACGGCTGAAGTTGCCGGGCCTGCTGGTTCTGGTGCGGCTGCCGGTCCTGCTGGGCTCGGAACCTGGTTCGGAAACTGGTTCGTTAAGCATTGTTGCAACCCGAGGCTGCTCCGGTCCACTCCTTGCGTGGCGCAGGCCGTTGCTGACAACCGCGGAAAGCACGTTGCTCTGCCGCCAGCAGACAAAAGCGGCCCATCTGGTAACATTGGAGCAGGGGCCGCGCCGCCAGCAGGCCACCGTGACGGCTCATCCTTGCAGCAGCTGGCGCCGGGGCTCTCCAATGGACCATCCGGCTCAGCTTTCACCTGCGTTGCCCTCTGCCGCTTTGAAGCATGGTAGCTCAACTCCCCAGGCTGGTAGCTTAACTCCCCAAGCTGACAACTCAACCTCCCTTCAGGTTGATAGTTCATCCTCCCTGCAGCACGGAAGGCCAACTCCCTGTCAGGCTGGTAGCTCAGCTTCCTCTCCGGTTGGCCCTCTGAAAGCACAGGGGCAGTGGCGGGTGCGGGGGCGTCGCTGCAGCGGCGGCGCTTGCGGCAGGTTGTGGGAGGGTGGTTGTGGAAGCCTGAGGTCGTCACCCGCACCACCTTGCGCATCTCCACGCGCTCAGGGCGTGCGGGGATGCCTCCAACCGTCTGCACCTCCCCATGGGTGGAACCTTCACCCTCCAAAGCAGCAGCCGCAGTTGCGTCATCAGCAGCATCATAGGCCTGATGACCAGCGCTTGTCAGGACGGCAGCAGCAGCAATAGTGCTTCTTGGGACGGCAGCAGCAGCAATAGTGGCGCTTGTCAGGACGACAGCAGCAGCAGCAGCAGCAGCAGCGGGGGCGGCGGCGGCGGGCGGCGCGGTGTGCTTGCCGCGGGGCGGGCCGGGGATGCGGTCCTCCACTTTGCGCGCCGTGCATCCCGTGACGGCCTTGCACACACACGTGAAGTAGATCCTGGTGGAAGGGAGGCGAACGGTAGGTAGGGGATTCAGTTTTTCAGTCGACTCGACCCTGCAAACAGACATTCAGTAGGTCCTGGTGGGTGGAGTGGGAGAGAGGTAGGGCGGCGAGTCACTGAACACCTTGTGAACACTCTGAGAACCCTTTGAACACCGTTAACACCCTCTGAACACCCTGAGAACCCCGTGAACAGCGTATTAACACCCTGTGACCACTCTGAAGACCTTGTGAATCAACGACGGCATCGCACCTTTTGACCGTCCGTTGGCACAGCCACTTGTGGGACAGTTTCTGCCACCGGTAATGGCTCGGATCTTCTTCAACTGGAGGTTGAACAACTTGTTCTGGCGTCTTCTCCGCATTCGTTTAAGAGAGCGCGTCGGTGCGCGGAAGTGGCGCGCGCAATGCCGCTCGCTTTGAGCCCGCCCCTGACCTTTGAGTCGTCTCAGTTGACCTGTGTCCAGACAGAGTCATCGTCTTTGCTGCGGCTTGATTTAGGCTGGAAATTATCTCCTTTGGAGCGGCGCGTCTGCTGCATGGAGACTCTACGACAATCATCTTGCACCGTCGCGGTCAGCAGTAGTAGTAAATTGGTTTTTTTCTTGCCGCGCCTCGGGCTTGCACTGGTTTTAGTAAAATTCTGAAATGAGTTCTACCTCCGGCGCGATGAAGGTGACGTTATGTTATGATAGGTGTCCCTTGTAACCCTAGAGTATGCTAGGTTAGGAGTCACAACGAAGCGCAAACATACCCGAATCGTCACGGCCAGAGAGGACAGTGTCTAAAAATAGGATTATGTGTGGCTGCTAGGACTCGAAGCAAACAAGCTACAATGCGGAGTCTTGGAGTTCAAAATGGAAAGCTTGCCAGAAATGTATGCTCGGGTGGTGAAGTGATGGGCGTAGTAGATGAAGAGAGACCCCGTATCCTAAACTTCGGCAAATCGGTCGATTGACTGACCCCATCCCAGTAACCCTTCCCTGATGCATCTAAGAAAGTCCCGCTCTTTTTCCTCGAGCTAAAATGCCTGTCACGACAGTCGATACTTGTTCTTATTGGCACACGACCAAACTGTGCAAACGACCTGTGAAATGAAACTTATGTCGTCAAAGTTTTCATTGAACGAGCATTGCCTGGCTCCCTGCGATGAACAGGCTAGACAGCAAGCCAATCTGCGACTCCCAAGTCCAACTCCTCCAACCCCGTTTGACGACACTGTTTGGCATGCAGGAATCTTGGAAACCAATCAGCACCTCGATGCAACTGCCAGATCATTCGCTCTGACGCACTCCCGCTCATTGTACGAGTCAGCAATCTCTTTTGGCGGGAAAAGGCACTGTACAATGTGTGGATGGCAACTGAGGGGCGGCTGCAAACCTCACCTTAGTGTACAAAGGATGCTCTTTAGGGTAACTCTAAATTCCCCTTATCAGTAGACTGAAACGTGCCTTAAATTGCCCTGTATCGTGCGCACTAGAACATTGGAGCTGGGCAATTGGAGAAATGTTAGTGCAGATGATGGCCAACCCTGGCCCGCAAATTTGCCTATCCTGCCCACACCTATTGTAACTCACCACGGGCAAATGGACGGGCAAATTATCTGGAAGCAGAAGGCAAACTTGTGCGATCAGAGTGGGACTGTAACTAGCACTTGCGCTGGTAATTCATGTCTCTTTGCTTCCACGGCAGTTGACTTAGTTGGACAATTTTACAGCAAACATTTTCAAACAGCAAAGATGTAGGTGTACAGTACATGGTTGGAGTGCATGTCTGTTGAGGTTGAGGATCATCGAGTGAGGGGGACTCCCTTTGCAGAGGGCGACGCTGACCGTCGGGCATAAAAAAACACAGAATGACAACCACCTCGTATGGCACCGCAGTTTGCTTCCAGCGCACTTGAC